TGTCTCTGCCATATTATTGTTATCTTATCGCTGAATGAAGTTAATTAAAGTGTTTTGTATGCTGTGTTATAAAACATGCAAACAATGTTATATTTACTTTTAAAAATTGCTTGTAATTGTATTTTGTTAGATATTTTATATATAGTTTAATTTGTAAAAGCTATTAGTTTTTGCTATTGTCATATGTTTAAAAAAATATGAAAAATTTCATATTTTTTTAATGAAAAATTTCAAGTCAATTTTATTAATTTTATTAATTTTATTTATTTGTTTAATTCTTTATCATTATTTTATTAAAGTTAAAAGAAAAGATAAAAAAATTAGCTAAAGTAATAATAAGATTGATTTCATTCAATTCGTCATAGAAGTTTACAGCAGAAGTTCAGTCTCGAAAATGTATTACAAAGGTGGCCAACTGTGGTATGTGTGCCACTATATTGGCATTCTCAGTAATATATATTATATATCCAATAAGAAGCACATGTCAGAAAAAAATAAAAAACAAAAAATTACTCAGTAAAAGCAACTGTACTTCATTAAAATATATTTTTTCACTTTCTGACTCTCTAGCTGCGTTCATTTTTTTCTTGCTAAAAGTACATTATGCTGATATTTTATTTGAGCGTGTTTTTATCGTGATAAAAATTTTGTCTATATTCATTGGATAACTTTTTTCTTGCGAATTCGTATTCAATAGCTAATCGAAGAACAAAAATGGAATAATATTTTAAGCTTGAAAACGAACAAAAGGCAATAATTTCTAATTAATATTTTTGTCTATTTTGTAATGATTTATTTTTAAACGAATGTAAAACAAAACACACAGTAAAAAAATAAACTTTATTAAACACACTCTTTTTGCTTTTAATGTATAAGAAAGTATATAAATAATATAATGTTACGTGTTCTTTTTTTTATTTGATTATATAAGAGAATGGCACTTCATCAAACCGAATCTCATATACATATACATATCTTAGCACTTCAACTTGTTAAAACGAAAAAGTTGGCCCTTCTGTATTACTGCACCGTTCGTTTCTGCTTTAAAAAGCATATTATAGAGCAACATAGTGCTTAATATATTATGAAATGTAAGATACAAATATAGAAGACTAAAGACTAAGAATAAAAATTTAGATTAGTACATATGTATAAATTTTTACTTTCTATCAATATAGTAGTAAAATGAAATAATAAATAATTTAATAAATCAAGAATATAATATTATAATCTTTGTTAAATAGAACTGAGACTTTATATTAAAAAAGCATACTTAAAAATGCGTAATATAATTGTTATGTTTTATGCATTTCAAATATTTGAACCGAAATGAAATTTGTGAATGTAACTTATGTTTATGCAGCATTTAATAACAGATCATAAACTAAATAATGTATTATAATAAAATATTTATGTTAATCGTAAATTTATATCAATTGTCGATGTCAACATTCTTCAATTATCTCCAGACCATCGGGATCTCATTAACGAAAATTTGCCCAGGATTCTTAATAACATCTTATTGCCGTCTGAATTTCGAGCTTTTTCAATTATCCCGCAAATACAATAAGAATAGTCTTAAGGAATTGATCAATCATTATAAAATAAAAGACTTTGATTAGTTGATTTTCTTACCCCCCATATACACAATGAATGTAGTAAGCCTTAAGCCTTAAGAAATTGATCAATTACAATCGAATTTAAGAAGAATAATAGATTGATTAGTCAATTCCTTAAGGTTTTAAGACTTACTCTACTACTCCTATTATCTGCGGGGTAACCGAAAAAGATCGAAATCTAAACGGTTACGACCACCGATGAAAGGATTGGAATCAGAACTGAAAATTGAGTATAACTTCGAATCGAAACTATTTGGATTCAGTCAGGTAGTAATATCATATTAAATTGATAAGTAAATTGAGTATATGATATTGTTACTCTAGTTTTGTTCATGATTGCATTTCAAGATTGAAAAAAATTTCGGCATACGATTTACAGAATTGTATATATATATATATATATATATATATTGCTGGGTATATATATATA